ACAGACATGAGAAAGACCTGGAATATAAGAGAACTAAAAGAAGATTCTTCCGATGATTTAAAGGGCAGAGTAGGGTAGCAGATATGGGAAAGGAAATAAATACAAAAAGCCATTTGTGAAGAAAAATATAAGAGACTTTAGTCATTGAACTTACTGGGAAAATTCCCAGGGCATCAGAAACAAGTGACTAAAAGAATAATACAAGGGTAATACTCTTGTATAAGAGAAAAGATAACTCAGCATCAGGCTGCTGTGCTTGGTGCATCATAAAGCATTTGAGTGGATAGGTCCAGTACACACAGGGAAAAAAAAAACTAAAATCATGTGAGATGACACAAGTGGAGATAAATGAGAATCATCAACTCAAAGGAAATAATTCATGATGCTTAGAAGAAACAGGAATGCTTTTACAATGCATTAGTGAAGGAGTGTTTTCAGTTTTACAGCTGACGAAACAAAGGTTATGAGACATTAACAAAATGACTTCATCTCTCTTTTAGAAGTAGACGGAATAGAACTGGCATTTTAACAATTAATATTTTGATTAAAATAAATCTGTCTATTACAATTGAAAAAATTTCAGAGCCCTTGACCTTCTGAAATGTTTTTCACATCAATTCCCTCAGTCCAGAGCTTATGAATCAGGAGGTTTTGTATCATGTCAACTTAGCAGAGTTGGAGCTACATTTCTCAGAGTTCCCATCCCTTCCCTGTGTACCTTTGAACTAGAGTTGGGAGGAAGAAAAATTGACAGGACACCAGGAAGGCCCATGTGACCCCTCAGCCCTATACTGAAAAAGGGAAGTACAAGGCCCTGGGCATCACTGCAGTTTGTGAACAGGATTTGCTATTGGTTTTTGGTTTTTCTTATTGGTGTGGGAGAAGAGGTGGAGTGGCCAGATCACTTCTAGCTAAGCGAAATACACAGTCAGGGTCCCCCTTCTGTAAAAGGACATGGTTTCTCTGCAAGTGGTCAGTCAAAGCAATGAGGGACAGATGCAGGCTCCAGTCTTCACAGATTCCAGTCTGTCCTAGCAAGGTCACTTGCCTGTGTCACTCTGCTTTCCTACAGCCTGACCTACCAGAGGAAATAACCTTTGTCTTTCCCCCTTAGGATCTTTCTCTGTCTCTCCCACAATCCCATGAGGTCTAATCCCAGTAAGGAACTTCTTATTTCACATCATTTGTGGTCCTTCTTCCCTAAGAGAATTGCTCACATCATATTACCTTCCTACACCCCACTCTCCTTTAATTGACAACAATTTGTGCATTACACTCTTTCTCAAGGGATTATCTATCAGTAATGGGTGATGAAATTTTAAAATGGATCTTAATGCTTTAAATAGACAGAAAGACTGAGAACCGAAACTACTGACTGACATTGAAGCCCCAGGACATTGTCCTTAGGTTCCTGGTGCCTGATGCTGGGAGACTCAGCAATACCCAGAACAACCCAGCTCCACCGTGTTAAGCAATAAGAAAGAAATACCTAACTTATTTCAACCTCTGTTATTTTGGTTTTTGTTGCAGCTAAGCTTGAATTCTAACCAATACAGACATTAAACATGATGTAAATCAAGTTCTGTTACTTAACAAATACACAACAAAGGCTTCTGTATTCTTAGTGTACTCTTTTTATTCTGTAGTAAAGCCTTAGAATAAGTGACTTGCCCAAATTCCATGCTGATCTTCCCAGTGATGCTGTCTCTAGCTTGTCTAAAATGCGAAGGGGCTATTTAATAACTGCATGTGATGGACCAAGAATCCACTCTTTTCATTCACTCTTATTTCTAGTGCAACTTCCCAGAAGGTACTAAACTAGACAGAATTAATATTTGCTATCGAGACCAATACAGGATTGCCTATACTTGTCTTGGGGTAACACTGATTTTCAGAAGACCAAGGAATGTTTCATTTATTTGAGCAAATTGATTAACCTCTCTGAGATTCAGTGTCTTTATTTATAAGACTGGACGAACAAGGTTGGAGAGAGAGTATAGCAAGTAAGGCATTTGCCTTGCAGACTGTGAATCCAGATTCAATTTCTAGCATGCTATGTGGTGCATGCCAGGAGCGAACCCTGAGCACAGAGCCAGGAGTAAGCCCTGAGCATTGCTGGGTGTGGCCTAAAAAACAAAAAAACAAAACAAAACCAGAATGTGTCCTTTGAGAATCTCTACAAATTGATTCTCTGAAACAAAACAAAAACCAGGTATCTTTTTTCTTTATGGTAAATTTTTCTTAGATTCTTAGTTAGTTCACAATACTTCAAAAGATTGAAGCACAGAAAGTGGTATCATAAGGAAATATTTTTAGTTTTATAATAAATATGTAGGAATAAAGATGCCATTAAAGTAAATAAGTGGAGCAGAGGCTACCGCCAGAAGTTTATCAAAGGATCAAAACTTGTTTTGTCAATATATGAAGTTCACAAGGTGAAGTTGCTCCTTGTTACAGCACAATACATATCTTATACTTATGATGGACTTCAAAAAAATGTTTGAAAATGAAAAGTAAATATAATAATGGTGCAAATATCATTAGTTTTTGGTAGCTAAGTAACTGTGTATGCATTATTAGTCACCGAATGTTTTTGTGCTCCCTAAAATTCATATGCTGGGCTAGAGAGAGTGTTCAGTGGATAAAACATATGGCTTGCATGCATCTGATACTGAGTTTGATCTCCAGCACCATGAATGGTCCCCTAAACACCTCTAGGAGTTAACCCTAAACATAGAGCATGGAATAAACACTGAACACCGCCTAGTGTGACCCAAAACCAAAAACAATCCAACAACAACAACAACAAAAAATTATATTCCGGAACATATGAACAAGGTGGTTCACGATCACCATCACGATCATCCTGTTGTTCGTCGATTGCCTCGAGCAGGCACCAGTAACGTCTCTTTTGTCCTAGCCCTGAGATTTTAAAAAGTGCCACATTCAAGGCTCTTTCAGGGTTAGGAGAATGAGACCCATCATTGTTACTGGTATTTGGCATATTGGGTACGCCACGGGGAGTTTGCCAGACTCTGCCGTGTGGGCAGGTAACATTCGGTAGCCTGCCAGGTTGTCCAAAGTAAGAATGAGATAATAAGATATCGCGGGCCACAAAAAATTATATTCCGGAACAGATGAACAAAGTGGTTACTAAATCACAATTTCCTTTCTGATGGTGTATGGAGGGTGCGTTATGAGATAACTAGGTCATAAAGGTGAAGATCCTAAACTGGGATTAGTGTAAAATTAATGCACTTGTAAGGAAAAGCACAAAATAACTCTCTCTGTCCTTGATTGCAATACATTGACAAAGAAATAAGTGGTCATCTGCAAATCAGAAAAAGGGCCTTACCAAAAACCAAATCTGTAGAAACTAAAAATTTGGGCTTTCCAGCCTCTGGACTGAGAAATAAATGTTGGCCTTTTAAGGCACGCAAATTTTGGTAATTAGTTATAGCAGTCAAAACTCACTAAGACAAATATTTCACAGGCACACCCTATATAAATGAATCCTGAAATAATAGCATAAATCTTCTTCCAGGAAATTGTTCATCAATATGTCTCATCAGTATACTCTAAGTAGCAGGGTCAGAGTTTTGAAACAAACAGAGATCAGAGGCCAAGAGTAGTGTGTTTACTCTGTTGGCACTTGCTTTGTTCCTTACGGGCACATCTGTTGGCTCACATTGCTAGAGCAAGGCAAAGTTTCTGGCATCTGTGTTTTGCCTCAAATGGCCCAATATTGCAACAGCTGATTAGGCTAGAGATAGATCTGAACACTCATATAGGACTTAAAGCAACGAAGAGAGTGCATCAGATTCGCTCTTTCTGCAAAATGTGTATGAATCATTATCTAAAGACTTACCTGAATTAGAAGTAGAAGTAGACTACAAGATGAGGAAGTTGAGTTGGAAGAGAGAGTCTGTCAGTTATGTACAAATCCAGTTATTAATTAACTGAATCTAAACTTGTTGGTTGCTGAACAGAAAGAATAAACAGAGATCGTAGCTTATTCTGTTCAACTACAATTTTCTTGAAGATACAGTATCCACCTTGTTCATCACTATTTCCTCCAACAGTTAATAGAATTCTTCACTAATAGAAAGCTCAGGGATTACTCTTGGCTCTGTGCTCAGTGATTCTGATTTTATTCCAGGCCTTATTCTGTCCACTAGTCTTAATTTCTAATCTAATAGTGAAATGTAAAAAAGAGCATTCCCTTTAACCACAGATAGGTTTAGACTTTTGGCATGAAACTAAAAGACAAAAGAATCCCACAAAACATTGACGGTTTGTTCTAATGACGTCAAGAAAGCTTGCTCAAGAAAAGTGTTCAGACTTACCTATTGAAGTAGACTGACTAGATAGATAAAAGTCAACTTGTAGCTATCTCCCTGTAAAATGTAAGTTCAATGAGAACTAATTTAACTCCCATTCTTCTGTTTAAAGGAAGAAAGTTAAGTACCCTGGGAAGTTACTCTTTGTTACAAAATATACTTACATAAATGATGCATCCTCCTTCCCAATTTATACTTCCCTTCTTTGTTATTTCTGAAATACACCTACTATTGTGTTTTTAAGAAAATATAAACAAGGTATTTTTTCTTGCATCTATGGAGATATTTAGGAACTGGATGGAGGAAATGTTATCCTAGTGTATTTACTTTCATAAAGCAAGAATTCACTTGGGCAATAAATATCTTTCAGGTCTTAGATATCTCCAGTCAATGGGTGTTAATGTACTCTCATCTGACAGATAATGGGAAGCTAATCCTTTGATTGATTCAATACTATCTCTATGCAGTTTACAAAGCAGATAGAAGCCAGACACACTTTTTACATTAGCAGAAACATCAGGAAACCACCATTCTCCCCATCTTGCTTCTAATAATTATTTGTAGGAGCTACTCTAGTAGTAGAAATAGTTGATGGGTCAAATGTGATGCATTAGCCTTCAAAAGGTGGAAGAGGGAAGAAGAAACAAATAAAATACTTACTTGGTCCTAGACCAATAGAAAAAGCAGCAACGTAGACAAGCAAGCTGGCTAAAGAGAGCCATTTCAAAAACGCAGGGACTTCCACAGGGTCGGTGACCACCTGGAATTCAGTTTGGCTCAGTCCAGCAGTTGGTAAAGGTGCCAAGTTCATCTCCTTTCCTGTATCCATGTTACTTCTTGTGGGCATCAGTGGGCTTCTGATGTGAGAAATGGCCCCCTTAAAAGACTCTCTAACAGTGTCATTGCTGGCTGACAGGTTTCCTGGACCATAAGCCGTAAAGCTGTTCCAAGACTGGTTGGCAGGAGGATGGATTCTGCAGATATCAGTGAAGTTCATATGGATGTGGAGATTCACGATGCCCATCGTCACCAAAGAGGCTGCCATCACTGAAGACCCAACACAGAGGAAGGTTTTGCTCCCAATTTGGTCAACCAGAAGGGTGGCCGGGATGGTGCTGACCACCTTGACAACACCCACCCCCGTGGAGGCGAGGCTGGCTGCCTCATTGCTCTGGAAGCCAACAGACTTCAAAACAGTGGATGCATAGAATAGAATGTTTGGCTGGCCGGTGATTTGTACAAAGAAGACCAACACTAAGCCGATCATTATTCGGGTCCTCATGTTGTCCTTCGAACGAAACAGATCTCCAAAACTGTATTGATATTCATCTTTCAGGGAAGATTTTATCACTGTTAGTTCCTCTGTGGTAACTGAAATACCTCGTAACCTCCCCAGAACCTTGCTCGCTGCTTCTTCATCACCTTTCATCACCAGGAACCGGGGACTTGGAGGAAGAAAGTACATGGCAATGGCTTGCAGAATCCCCAAAGGAATGACGAGGCCAAACATGTACTTCCAGCCGTGGGATACGTTGGCAAATGCATAGTTTGAAATGTAGGCCCCGAGGATGCCGATGACAATCATCAGTTCATTGAGGGAGACAAGCAGGCCTCGCCGGTGCTGGGGGGCGATCTCTGCGATGTACACACAAGTGGCGATGGAAGACAGGGAAATGGAGATGCCAATGGCAATGCGTCCCACGATCAGAAGCGTGTAGGATAAACTGAGGATCAGGACCAGGCTTCCAAGGCCCAGGAGGCAGGATGAGAGCATGATGGCGGCCCTTCTTCCGTACCTGTCGATCAGGACCCCTCCCGTGAGGGAGGCCAGCAAGGCCCCGATGAGGAGGGCGCTCACGACCATCTCCTGCTCATGGCAGGACAGGGCTAATAAGGTTCGGATCTGCAGGAGGGCCCCGGAGATGAGACCAAGCTCATAACCCACCAGGAGGCCACCGACGGCTGCAGTGATGGAGGACAGGAAAGTCAGCATGCTGCAACCTAAGCAGAGAGGAGAAAGGGGATCAGTCCTTATTCGACTCTTATTCGAATGCAGGTTCAGCCTCAGGAAGGTTTTCCTAGGGGCTGGAGTCATAGTACAGAGGGAACGGTGTTTGCCTTGCACATGATCAACCTGGGTTCGACCCCCAGAAACCCATGTGATCCCTGAGCCCCACCAGGAGTGATTCCCAAGTGCTGAGCCAGGACTTACCCTTGAATATGCTGGTGTGTCCCAAAAGCAGAAAGGAAGGAAGGAAGGAAGGAAGGAGGGAAGGAGGGAAGGAAGGAAGGAAGGAAAAAAGGAAAGAAGGAAGGAAGGAAGGAAGGAAGGAAGGAAGGAAGGAAGGAAGAAAGAAAGAAAGAAAGAAAGAAAGAAAGAAAGAAAGAACACAAAAAGGTTTTCCTAGCACAGAATGCCCACACACACAGTTGGATACAGTAAAATAAATAACACCCTTAAAGTGTTGCTAAAATATATGTGTACATATCTAGATAGATTGATGCATATAATTATTATAGGTTAGGTCACATATTTACTATGGTTCTCATAGTTATGGTTTGATGTTCTCAGACCTCACTTCACTACCACCTCAACCAATGCTCAGCCAATGTTCATGTTACTTTCAGCCTAGAAATGATTTTGTAGAGCAGAGAACATTTTTCGTTTGTTTCATTTTTGGAAGTCTGTGAAAGTGTTGAGGCATTGGAGAGCTTGTGAGTGCCTTGTAAAGATATAATTGTGTCAGAGATAAGGAGATGTAGACACCGAGCAAGAACCAGCAATGCCCATGACCCACTCTGAGGAAGGAGGAAGGGAATGGATATGGAGGAAGATATTTTCATTGTGTGGTTAGTTTTACCTTGAGTACCAAGATATTTTAAACCTTTGGGATCCTGGTGTAATAAGGAAAGTGGAAGACTCAAAAATATAAAAATTTTTAAATGGCTGACTATTTAGATGAAGGAGCAAATAAGAATATAGTAATTTGCAACAGCATAAAATTAATCTATGAACATTGTGAACACCACACTGGAAGTACATCAAATTAAAATTAATCAGCATTTTATCCAGCCCGGCAAGCTGTAGAGTATCTCGCCCGCACGGCAGAGCCTGGCAAGCTCCCCATGATGTATTCGATATGCCAAACACAGTAACAACAAAGTCTCCAATGGAGACGCTCCTGGGCCCGCTCGAGCAAATCGATGATCAACGGGAGGGCCTTTACCTTTACCTTTACCTAATCAGAAAACAATAATCAGAGCTGGAGTGATAGCACAGCGGTAGAGTGTTTGCCTTGCACGCAGCCAGCCCAGCTGAGCCAGGTTTGATTCCTCCACCCCTCTTGGAGAGCCCAGCAAGCTACCGAGAGTATCTCGCCCACACGGCAGAGCCTGGCAAGCTCCCCGTGCTGTATTCGATATGCCAAACACAGTAACAACAAGTCTCACAATGAAGACGTTACTGGGCCCACTTGAGCAAATCGATGAACAACAGGAGGACCTTGAATCAGAAAACAATAGTATCATTATATAGCAGGCATTTTCCTAGGTACTGGGCAGGAATGGAAGGTACCCAGCGATGAGATAAAACAGATGTGGCTTTTGTCCCCAAGAAGTTACTTCAGGTGATCTTTTGTCCATATTTCTTATTATGTGTTGTTACCTTTACCTTCAAAATGATTTTATAAAATGCCACCTAACTTTCAGTCATGCCCTATTTCACATATGCCATTTTGTCCCTGTGATCTTTGTTTTCATAACAACAAACTATTCCACCACAAGGAAAATTAGATCAAGTTCTCATATTTCGGTGAGAATATTACATTACAGGGGTCAAGGCTCTTGCTTCGTGTCCCACTGACCTGGGTTATATACCCCTGGGTCATATACCCCAGGATTTTATATGGTCCCCCTAAGCATCATATAGCACCACTAGGGTCATTCCTGAGCACAGAGCCAGGAGTAACCCATAAGCATCTCCAGGTGAGGCCTAATACCCTTCTCCTATGCAAAAAATCAATTTTTTTTACAGAAAAAACATTATTTTTCAAGAGAATGCTGAATTGCCTTTGTATCTCTGTCTTCATTTATTTCCTCTAAGTGTAAGGAGTTAAAAAAGTGAGTGGGTTTTGGCAATTGGTCTCTGATACTCAGATTGGAGACAGAGTGACTTTGATGAATGAAACACTTGGGAGGCAGATTGAGTGCAGATTTTATGTGAGAGCAGAAACCATGAGGATACTGGTTGAGGGCATGGGGAAATGAATGCCATCACAGCCTCCCCCTGGCCTATCTTCATTTTCCCTTTTTGTTAGGCGGGAACCAGTAATTCTCTATGAAAAAAAGAGATCCCTTGAGGATATACATGATAACCCTTCAGTATCTGCATTGCAAACCATAATACCCAAAAGGAAAGGAGAGAGAGAGAGAGAGAGAGAGAGAGAGAGAGAGAGAGAGAGAGAGAGAAGAGAGAAGGAGAGAAGAGAGAGAGGGAAAGAGGGAGAGGGGAGGAGAGAGGGAGAGAGGAAGAGAGAGAAGGGTAAAGGGGTGGGATGGGTGGGAGGGAAACTGGGGATACTGGTGTTGAGAAATCTGATTTCTCACTGCTGAAGGATGTGTATTGGAACACTGTATGATTGAAACCCAATCACGAACAACTGGTGATTCAATTTAAGAGAGAGAGAGAGAGAGAGAGAGAGAGAGAGAGAGAGAGAGGAGATATTCTTAAAGATTCAGGAGTCCCTTGTCTTGATGCTCTATTGTTCTCTTTAAAGAAGCCTGAGGCAGGAAAGAAAGGGATAGACATAGAAAGATTGCATTCATCTGGGGAACATAAAGTAACAAAATAGGAGACTAACACCCAAGAATGGCTGAGATTAGTACCAGGAATTTTACTCCATGGCTTGGAGGCCAGCCACACAAGCTAGGGGAAAAGGGAGCTCAGATAGAGAAGGGAGCACCAAATAAAGGTGTTGGGAGGGTCCTCCCAGGATGGGAGAAGCATGCTGAGAGTAGACTATAGACCAAACATGATTGTCACCCATTGCCTCTTTTGCAAACCACAACACCCAATAAAAGAGAGAGAACAAAAGGGAATGCCCTGCCACAGAGGCAGGGTGGGATGGGGGGGATGAGGGGTGGGAGGGATACTGGGATCCGTGGTGGTGGGAAATAGGTACTGGTGGAGGGATGGGTATTTGATCATTGTATAACTGAAACACAAGCACAAAAATGTGTTAGACTGCAACTGTACCTCATGATGTCTCACTAATAAAAATTAAAAAAAAAAAAAGAAGCCTGAGACTGTCGGGGAGGAGAATAGACTAGGGCCTGAGCCAGTCTCCAAACCAACTCCTGATAGCCTAGGGCAAACTGCGCCTGCCAGAAGACAGATCCGGCTTTTGTTTTCCACTGTCACGTCCTCTGACTCAAATTCCAGAGGACACTCACGGACTGGGATGTGTGTGTGTGGGGGGGGGGGGGGGGGTGGAGGGGAGGTTGGGATAAATATCCTGGTATCTCAGTCTCCATCTAGAGACCTAGCCACTAGCACTAGTTTAATTCTTCAGGCACATATGCAAATTATTTCTAGAGAAGCTGGTATAAAATTTATTTACACAACCATAATTTTACAAAGTAGACATCATATGGAGCTGGAGCCATAAGGGCTGAATTATAAGGGCTTACCGGAGTCCCTTGGAGGGGAGCGGGTTGAGCTTTCCTCCCCGCCCCGACCAGAGCTCCGGCAGCCGAAGACCTCCAGGACCAGCCACCACCATGCTGAGACCACTCTCCGCACACATGAAGGTACTGGCAGAGGGACAAAGCCACGCGGGTTCCGGGGCCGAGACCTCCAAGCCTACTCGAATTGGAGTCGAGCATCTTCCACCCAGATCCTCCAAATTCCAGTAGGCGGGGGTCACACCCACCACCTGGCCCCCTGGCGCCGTGTAATCCCATCAGCGGTCAAGACTCAGAGACTATAAAATCCAGATCCCGGAACCGCGTGGCCGCATTCGCGGCCGCGTGACATCTTATTATCTCATTCCTACTTTGGACAAACTTGCAGGCTATCGAATGTAGCCTGCCCACAGGGCAGAGTCTGGCAAACTCCCCGTGGCCTACCAAATATGCCAAATACCAGTAACAATGATGGGTCTCATTCTCCTAAAGAGCCGTGAATATAATCTCAGGGCTAGGATGAAAGAGACGTTACTGGGGCCTGCTCGAGGCAATCGACGATTAACAGGATGATGAAATGAAATGAAAACCGAATCATAAGGGTTGGAGCAATAGCACAGTGGGTAGGGTGTTTGCCTTGCGTGCAGCCGACCCGGGTTTGATTCCTCCATTCCTCTCAGAGATCCCAGCAAGCTACCCAGAGTATCCCGCCCACATGGCAGAGCCTGGCATGCGCCCTGTGGCATATTCGATATGCCAAAAACGTTAACAACAAATCTCACAATGGAGACGTCTCTGGTGCCCACTAGAGCAAATCGATGAACAACAGGAGGATAGTGCTACAGTGCTACATCTGGCATCTATTTTCTATCTAAGAAGTTTTTTTCTTCCCTGCCACCCTCTCCCCTCCCATCATTGTTGAAGTAGTTGAGTAGCCTAGAATAGTGCATTTTGTTGTGCAACTTGCTGAGAGTCGAACACCCGTGGCTATGGTGCTCACCAAGGTTTACACTTCTTTAGTTATGGTTTACACTTGTGCTGATTGGGGGATTGTACTTCCTGAACGAGGCAATCACACTACTTTTTGGGGGGTTCACCAGGGATTGCACCCCTTTGTAGAGCTTCATCTAGACCTTAGCCATATTTTTCTAATGTATGCACATTTTAACACTAAGGCTGATGCGTTGCCAGAAATTTCTTATGGCTCTGGAGACTCCAGACACCAGAACACCAGAGCTGAAAGTCTCAAATTGACCAGCTGCCAGACTGTGCCTGACACATGAAGCAACACTGGGAATTTGAACTTGTGACCTTATGCT